TTTCAGAAATCACAGGATAAAAAAGAGATGAAGTTATGAAAAGATGAATACTATAGTTGTGGTGAAAGAGGCTATTCATTACAGAGGAAGATGAAGTATTTCTGGAGCCTTAACGTTCGCGTGATTTCTCTATTCAACTAGTTCAAAATATGGCCCACGACAAGAATAATATTTGTGATTGGAAGCTTTCTTTAATTAAAGGGCGTATACTTACCCGATCCAAGTTTTCCATCGCAACCGACTGGTAGACATACACCATCTACACAGATATCGTCACTCTTGGCGTCGCACTTGGTGCCATCGACGACTTTGTCGTCCCACTTGTAGTAGAAGTTACCATTTTCAGGTTTGCAAAGCAATTCACATCTGGAATTACAGTATCCATTTGAAATATGAGCCAGTTATGTAACCCTTGTGCACGACTCTATTATGTAATTGGCAGCCGCTCCGCCAGACATTGGCAGCAGAAGTGCAACAGACTTTGGCTGGTTGCGTCACAGTAGTTCTCAAGTTACAGTACTCCATTACAGTAAGAAATCGATACCCACTTGTTTTTGCCTTTGTAAGGTTGCCATTTGTGATAGTTGCCATCTAGAGCATCGTCATTGTGCTGAGCGCATTGCTCCGCGCGGAAATCCGTCCCTTCCGGACAAGGATCGAGATTGCATGAGACGTATCGAACTGATGGTCCTGTGCAGTCCCCACTGAAAAAAAAACATGCTTATTAGCTTTTGAAACTCGGTCCGTTTTTGAACTACTGTAGTCCAATGACTCATTCCAGCTCATTTGTTTTCTACAAAGATTATTTACTCTAAAGAGTTCAATCAATCAACAAATCTGCGCATCTACAGATGTTGTTGATGACGTAGGCGATAGTGATGAGAGAAATAAACAATCAAGCGTTGTTTATTCAGCACGGTCTGTAGCTGCACAAAGTTATAGCGATCGGAATAGGATAATCTAATAAGTATTTTTAAGTATCCGTTGCTTCCAATAATTTCCCCATTTGCAATTTTGACGACGTGTGGCATCTTGCTGAAGCGATAAGTTCGTCAGATTAGGGTAAATATTAGTCTCAAAATGTGTGCATTTGCACTAGGTAATCTCGAAATGACGACCATTCTAACATAGTGAAACATAGAAAAAGTGACAATTAAAGGCATTTCTCATGCTTTTTGTGCTGACTTCTAGCTCTCTTTGAACTTTCTAAACCTTTCAAGTGTGGCGTATATTCTTTGTTGTCATTTTTGCTCATTTTCTGCTCTACAGATTCTTACATATAACAAATTACAGTAGTTAGAAATGCAAGGCTTCTTGCAGATTGATCTGGTTATCCCACATGCTCCGAATTAGAAATTAAAGCAAAAAACTGTAGAGAAACTACAGAACCATAGCCGCGAGCAAAATAATCTGCTATATTCTGATTTTTGAAATTTGCGTTTCAGGGCTATCGTCTTACACTTTTTGTAAAACACTCGCCTGCTTTCTTGTCTCAGTTTTCACATTCCGGAAAAATCAAAAGGGTTTCTAACAACTTTTGGAAAAGATTAGTTCTCCGTCTACCCATACGAATGAGCTCGAATCGATTCACGATTTTGCAGCTCTATATGCCGGGTTTAAACTGTAGTTCTAACTTCGAACTTCTTGCAATAAAGCGCGGGAGTGTAAATATTGTCGGCTTTGCTCAGAAGTTGTGACTCAGCCGACTTGACAACAATAACGATCAAGTGTAGAAAGCAGCTAGTGGATCTACTTTTCATAACCTTGCCATATTTAGAATTGGTGCAGATCTGCGACTGAGGAATGAACTTACGAGCATTGTCGCTTCTCGACTTGTACACCACCACCACATGTTCGTGAACATTCTTCGGGTGTCCATTGTCCCCATGGTCCAGACTCAGTCACATGTCCGGTTTTGTCTAGACTAACGGAAGAATCACCATCAACGTAAACCTGAAGAGTAAATGTATATTCAAAGAACCCAAAACGACTGCATTTAGGATTTGTTCGAAAATAGATAATCGCAAAGGAGTTAAAAAATATGAAAAAGAAGAACTAAGTTACTTTTCTGTTCCTCT